CAAATGTATAATACTTCTTTAATGACTAATTAAATTACCTTTTTATAGAAAACATTCATGTTAATAACAGTAAACCTGTGTTTAAGTTTTCAGTGAAAAATATGAGTTATTAGTGTATAGTAGTAGGCTATTAAACATTATATTTCCCACAATTTAAGCTTCTGCATTTTCCAAATGCACTAGTATTAATCAAACATATTGTTCGGTTCGTAAACCAAACGGTTTAATATGAATATGTGTATTATTACATCAATAGAAACAAATAACCGTAGCTCAGTAGGACAGCACAGAAGGCCCAGGTATAAATGCACAGCCCGCCACTGCCTTTTATGAACGCTGTTATGTTCAGCATGAAACTTTATCTCATTTTAGAGAATGTAGTTTATGGTGCTGATTAAGTATATTGCATTATAAACATTATACATGTATATAATGTTTAACATATAACACAGTTATACCACGGAGGACCAACTAAATATTAGTACAACACAGTAGAGCACCACAAACAAGGCAACAAGTTATTAGTTTTAGATAAGTTCAACTAATTAACTTAAACTGACTGTACAGTTCAAGTTCTATTATCAGTATATACTCATTTTAATATCAGTTGACATATTACATCAAACTCAGAGCTGTAGTTTGATCTTAATTCATAATATTAAAGATGACAGTTGTGTTTTCATCGCTGGAAAAGAGCTTAAAACATCCATTGGATTGCTCCAAAGAAGACGCATTATGCAGCATTACCTGTGAGGAAAATACAAGATTAAAAGCTTCTGGACTCGATCGAATATTTAGGAATTCACTGCACAAACTGTACCAGTTTAAATTGGTAAAGGAATAAGTAGATAAATACTGAATCCTAACATGTGTGTGGTTTAACTACTCCTTTAATAGTCTCCAAAAGACCACTAGCATGGTTCTAACGTTTTCTTTTTCTTTAAGGTGCGCTGGATGACTTTGACAAAACACCGGCCCCTCCAGCCCCTGAACCTGCAGCTGCTTCCTCCTCAGCCACCAGTGGTGCAGAGAAGGTCTGTTGGTGATTATTTTTGTAACGATGTCGCTGTTTTAGGATTCACATCTTGTTAAGCTCTGAAAGATACAGGTGGAAGTATTTGTCCACAACTTGCCCAGATGCTCTTTCTCTGTTTTCTACTTGTTGCCCTTCGCTGCTGTCAAGTGTTACATTCAGCTGGTTGCGCAACCTGTAAAGATTACAAAGTTCAGACCCCACCTTACAGAAAAAGACTTTCTCAGTTGCAACAACTGTTTTTGGGGGCAGTAACTGTGGCCAAGGAGCCAACATTGGAACAAAAAATATTTTGTTGATGTAATTTGTATGAAAAAAATATTTAAAAAATCCAGCTTGATACAATTTAGCACTCACAGGCTCTCTCAGAAATGTGTACATGCTTTTTGTTTCCCTGTGTAGCCACCTCTGCTTGAAGACAGCAAGCTCTTTGAGACTCTCTTTGACGGGGACATGGCGACCCAAGCCAAGGAGGAGTGGGAGAAGGCCATGACTGAGCTGGCCCACGAGGAGCCAGAACTACTGCAGCACTTCAATAAACTGTCAGAGGCGGCAGGCAAAGTTGGTAAGGTCTACATTTGCTTACTTGTGGTTTTGGATTATGTTCTTCTGCTTACTGTTTAGTTCCTGTAGCCTAAATGTTGTGTGTGTTCTGTGTAGGCACTGACACGGCCTCCCAGCAAGAATTCACTTCCTGTCTTAAAGACACCCTGCGTGGCCTGGCCAAGAATGCAGATAACCTGCAGGTGGGTAAATCAGATTTTAAGAGTGATGCAGACATGGAAGAGTTTACCGACTGTTGGTGTTGTTCTCTGACAGACCTCAGGACTAGCTGGAGACGATCTTGTCAAGGCTCTAGAAGGCCTGGGATTGGAAGAGGGAGGCGAAGGAGGCGAAGGAGGCGGTGATGACGGAAACATCCTCCCCATCATGCAGTCCATCATGCAGAATCTCCTCTCTAAGGAAGTGCTTTATCCGTCTCTCAAAGAGATCACTGCTAAGGTCTGCGTTTGTTTCACCGGCAATATCGCTGTAGTCTGTAGTTCCATTCCTAAGACTCACTCATAAATGTCCCTCCACTGCACAGTACCCAGAATGGCTGGAAGCCAACAAGCCGAGCCTTAGCGCGGAGGACTACCAGCGCTATGAGCAGCAGTCCAAAATCATGGGAGAGATTTGTAAGGGCTTTGAGAACGAGGAGCAGGGGGCGGGAGATAAAGACGGCATGTTCGAGAGCATCATGGACCTGATGCAAAAGGTAAACACGCTCTGCATTTGACTTCTTCGTTGTTGAAATGTTAATTGTTAATGAAGTTGAGAAAAATAAAGGAATCAATATCTTTTCTAGGTTTGTTAAAATGTCTTTTGTTTCGTACTTCTTGAATATTTGGATTATGAATCAGCATTCAGCCATTACTGCAACAAGTGCTTACATGATACTACACATGAAATAGCTACTACTGCAAGTGGAAACTCGCATTACATTGGCAGCTTAAAAACTGCTGTATTGTTTACTTTAATGTGAATAGAGTTCGGTTGGTTAAGAATGAAACTCATCACAGATTATAATGCTTTTACTTGCAGCTTCAAGACCTGGGCCAGCCACCCAAAGAGCTCGCAGGTGATGCGGTGAGTTTAAGCTGCTCTCTGTCTCTCCGATGAAAAGGGAAATGTGCTGCTAGTGCTAGCAACTGCCTCTGTGTGTGCAGGCAGCCAGCCAAGGAGGGCCTATTTTATTGTGAGGAAAAACATTTTAAATTGGAACGTTTGTATAACTTTCATATTGCCATCCTTGATGTCTCTTTAATGAAATACTTTACAAGCAAAGGTACTTTATCATATTGATGCAAAAAGTATAAATTAGAGGCGTAGCTACCTTAGACATGACAGCATTCTCCCTCTGGCTTCTTCCCCTCCAGCCTCCAGGCTTCAACTTCGACATGGAGTCCCTCAATCTCCCCGGAGGCCCCGGGGCTGGAGCGGCCGACCAGTGCTCCATCATGTGATCAGGTAGCGGTGCGACCCATCAGAAGCACCGGAGCCAATGGGTCCCTCTGTGTGCGTCAGCGACAGGCAAGGGAGTGATGGAGTGTGAAGCAAAGGTCAGGCAGGAGAGTGACCGGACCGCTCGACACCGTTCTCCCTCAAGTAGAAGGTGTGTGTGGAAGCAGAAACAACAGGAGGAGGCACGAAAACCAACGGGAACCACACACACACACACACACACACCAAACACACTCTCTCCTGTCTAAAAATCACTGAACGCACAGCTGAGAACATTTCAACATCTTTGCATTAGTTTGTCAGCGTTTGACGCAGCTCCTTCACGGTTTAGTTTTAACAGCATTTCTTTAAAAAAGAAAAATACCACTGTCGTTCTTTATGTTGTTTTTACAAAAACTGTTTCATGGTAAAATCTTATCAAACCACCTCACGGGTATTAACAGTGCCTTTGCAGAATGACTTTAAGTTATTGTTTTAGGTCTTTAGATTTTGCTATCATTCAGCTCAGCACTTAAGATTATAGTTTTAAAGTGGTGTGAATCCTGCAATATCATACACCAAGTAAGTAATTCTTTGGTGCTTCATTAAAAACGCACCTATGTTTCTGTACAGGTTGTAGAGGATGTAACTTAACGAGTTAATTACTTATTAACATGTAAGGAAACTGAAGAAAAAAAGAGTAGTGTACATTTGTTAATTATTTAAATGATTAAAAATACTAGAGAGGTTTAAACACCTCGTGAGATGTTCCCAGCGCCAACTAATTGAAGAAGACCCATCCCCCTGAGTGTTAACTCTTTCCCAGGTGTTGATTTGAAATGATTGAGATGATGAAGCCTTTGCTGTGGTGAGTGTACAGTTGCTGTGAAGAGTGCTCCCCTTGTTATCCCCAGTGTTTTTAATGTGCAGAGTGATGTTTTCTCTGGTCTGGGGTCCCTGCTAGGAAAGAAAAACTCTTGACGGATATTCAGGAGTGTTTACCACCGTCTGCTTTTGTCCTGCACCCTCCATTGAAAGTACATTGTATTCTTTCCAGAGTTGTGTCACACGAGGAGAGAAACATGTCCGTCATTCATACAGATACACTGTTGGGTGGAACATCAACAGCCTGATGACTCGTTGGCTGTGCGTTTGTTTACTCCAGCAGGCCACTTTTCACCAGTGGACAAACCTCTGTGACCATAGAGAGAGGACGAGAAGTCACGACCATCAGCTCATCAATAACTGTGTAATAAAGGGGTACTGTGAAAGGATTCAGTCAGCCATGCGGTGAAAAGATAACAGATTTACACTAAACAGGCTGCTGTGGAGGTCCATGTGGGGGGTGCAATCTATTCAACTCTCAGGACCGACGCAAACATGCCCACAGCACCGAGGGAAAAAAAGAAGCATCCTGTTATTTGACAGTGTTGTTTTGTAAATATATGAATTAAAATAATGGTAGTATGCAAATTATTTTGATGTTTTGTATTTGTCATAATTGCTTTTACACAGTAGCAGCAAGTGAATATAAAAACATTTATTTTCAGGTATTGTGCAGTTGTGTGATAGTTATACTTTGCTATTTTATGTATTTATTAAACTGGTTGCATTGCAGATTTTGCATTCAAAAACTGATAATTTTATATAATATGCTATAGATTAAACAATGCAATTGTCATTTAAGTTTCAAGTTTATTTGTCGTTTGAACTGTCAGAATTGCAGTTGAAATGGCAATACATCAAAGAAAACATAAGCATCAGTACAACGCCATAAAAACTGCATGTGGCTGATGTACAATGAAATAAATGTGAGTATGTTCAAAATAAGTGCATTGGCAGAAAAAAACCATAAAACAAGATATATCTGTATACATACATACAGTATGTATACGCAAGTGTAGAAGGTAGCAATACAATTGATGTAAGGTCACATGGTTTGCATGTGTGTATTTATTGTTATTGTTTGAAAGATGACTGCTGATTATACTAACATACATTTTTAAGTAGATGGTCTAAATATTTAAGCACTTAGCAAATCTTGACTCAAGGTCTACTTATTTGTTTTTGTTTTTGGAGCTTTCAGTTGAGTTTTCTATTTTTTTCTGAGAATTTATAGATCTCTTAAAGACATGATTGAAAGCTACAGAACTAACACAACATGGACGGAAAATTCCCAAAAGTGATCTGAAGAAATGGAACTGTAAACATCTGCAATTCCATTACAAAGTCCATGTGCTGATGAAGATCGTATGGTATGGCTGAAAGCTCCAGAAGAGCTGGAGAAATTGACCTTGTATTGCTGCTGTCTTGTCTATGCTATCCAGACTGTAGAAATAAACCATTTAGATTAGCTGTAATGATCGAGTCAGCATGGCTCCTGTCAGTTCAGTTCTATGTGTGACAGTTCTATCTTCCGCCGCGTGGAGCTTTCTGCGTCAAATCTTCCCTGCACAACTTTATTGTTCCAAACCGGAAGACAAAACAGGCTACGTGTCAGGAAAAAGGAGAAACGGCTAAATGGGCGAAGGCGAACAGGCCACCTGAGTTCACCTGTCTGGAGTATTTGAGTTGTTTTTATTGTTCGTGGGGAGTTACATTTTACCACAGCATTAACATCGTGACTTGTTTTAATATCAAGTGACGATGTTAACAAAATTCGAAACAAAGTCGGCTCGTGTCAAAGGTAAGAGTTTGTTAGTTGCAGTTAGCTTAAGAGCTAACGTTAGCTAGTTGACGTTATCCAGCTCAACTATTTATCATTGTTAATGTACGTTATGTCTATAAATGAATTAATGTTTGTGTATCACAACTTTAAATGATTTATGTTACGTCTTGTGTTTAAATGTAGTTATTGAATTATTTAGCCATCTAACGTTAGCTAACTTACAATATTTAGCTAAACTTGATATGGTTTTCTTGCTAATATAAATGTGTGTGTGTGTGTGTGTGTGTGTGTATGTATATATATGTGTGTGTGTGTGTGTATATATATATATATT